ACTTAAGAAAAACCTCAAAGAATTCCACATGTAATATAATTTTTCTTTCATCTTTGGCATAAATTTTCCTTTTAGATGTATTTATTTATTTTCTTGTTTTGCTTTTTCATATTCTTATTTATTTTATTTTATTAATATTTAATTTTTTTTAATGATTTTTGTTATTTTTATTCATTTATTTATCATTTTAACATTTATTTATTTTCTAGTGTTACTTATTGTTATTTTTTATTCATTTTGTTATTAATTTATTATTTATTCTCTAGATTTTATTATTTTTTATTTATTCATTATTTAAAAATTTTTCTCAATTTGCTTTTTCACATTTTTTATTTATTTTCTTATTTTAATTTTTGTATTTGTGTAGAAATATAATTACAATGGCTGTGAGACTTTGTTTTTTTTATATGCTAAGAGATATAAACATTTTGATACTGGTTAAAAAAATAGAAAAGGAAAGTACAAGGGAGATAACTACAGTTAGGAAGCTACACAAATGGTGGGCAAAAAAAAACGAAATAGAATAACAAATTTCTACAAAAAATAATATTTAATCAAATCTCATAATACAAAATAACCTTAATGAAAACTTTTGAAATAACTCTTGAAATAACTCTTGAAATAACTATTCATTATATGGACCAATTAGTCAAAGATACACAGAGGAGTGACAATGAATATTATTTTGTTTAAAGTATATTTTATGACTTGATGTATAGTCTTACCTGAATGGTCATTATCCATACTTCAAAGAGTAGACTATAGAGACAAGTCAATGAGATAAGAATTGTTAAGAAGCTAAAATTTGCAAGAAAGATCACAGATTCAAGGAGAATTCTGAAAACATTATTGTATTAGTAAAACAAGAGCAACTTTTTTAATATTTATAAACTACATTATTTATAGCTCAACCATTTGTTCACACATTGAATATTGCTGCCACATTCGGTCTTGTGCTTCTACTATGTATTTAGAGATTCTTGATAAAATCCAAAGAAGAATCTCAAATATTATTAGTCCTGACCTGACATCATGGCTTCAGTTACTTTCACATCACCATAACATAATTTCCTTACATGCAAGCTACCAATCGGCCACTGGGTGACATGCCACTAGTGTTTAACACCATTTTTTTAAACATTTACATTTTATCCATTGCCGTAATTAATATTTTTATTTTATTTAATTTTATAATTTTTTATTTACTGTCAATATAAAACACTCATACTGTCTTGCCAAATCCATTACTCATTCGTCTTCCTCATGTTTTTTTTTTTTTTATAATTTCCTGCTTTACTCAAGAAATCATGTTTCAGCTTTTCACCACTTTTCTTTACACTTACTTTCTTCGGATCCATGGTGTCAATAAAGGAATTTTGCAAAATAACAGCAAAAAAGACACAACATAACACAACAGAGCAAGGTGAACATGTTTACTGCAAATGGAAATACTCTCAAAGCTTGGCACTCACTGTGACAACTAGTGGATATTTAACTGAAACTCACTCATATCTCAAAATTCAGCTTGTATCTCAAAAAAAAATCAGCTAAGCTCCAGCTTGTCTATCAAAAAACTTGTATGTTGGTACACTCATATCTCAAGGTATTCTTGTGTGTATATATATATATATATATATATATATTCCAGCTGCACTTAACACATGAATGCTGGGAATAAACGCTCTTATTCAAAACAACACAAAAATAAAATACAACTTAAACAGTCAAAACATTAAGAAAAACTAACAACACCAAAAACAAAACTCTTCTGAAAATGGCTAAAGAAGAGGCCAAAAGTGCTTCGGACAATGAAAATTATGGAAAATTTTTGTACACCTTTACTTCTACCAAATGGAAAAACATAAAGTCCCTGGTTAAATTAAGTAGAAAATTAATTAAATCTGTCTTGTCTGTCATATTTAATGAAAGATGTTTAAAAGAAAGGTTGCTGCCCAAATATATATATATATATATATATATATATATATATATATATATATATATATATATATATATGAAAATGAATTTAAACATTACAATAATCTTCTTTTGTCAGGATATGGTCAACATGGCTCTCACAACTTCTTGATTTGTTTTTCTTTTGTTGTAAAAAACTCTTACCCCTTTACCACTGCTCTTTGTCTTTAAGGTTTTTGTTCTGTTGTCCGAAAGATGCCTATGTGTAATTTGTGAAACATAGCTGTAGATCTTAATGCATGAGTATTACTCACTCTGATAACATTCTGAACATAAAATCATATTTCTTGTTTTTGTATCTTCCATAAAATTACACACAGTTATTTTACCCTGTTTCTACTCTAATTCTGCTATGGTCAGAAGAACACTAACAATTAGTTATATGGCTCATTAAATTGATTGTTCAATGGAGTTTGCATTAATTCACACCAGCTTTCTACAGTGTTGCTATCGAGATTGACCACTTGAGGTCTTCTGGTATTTCACCACTGTCATTTATCATTTCAGTAACCTTCTCAATCCCTAAATCATCTAAGACTGACAGCATCTCTATCTAATCTGATTCTGCTACTCTCTTTTACAACTTGGTTAACACTGACCTAACCTCAGATTTTAATAATATGGATCTTTCCATGGTTTTATGTTTCTCTCTTCTGTTATCATGGAAGAGCTCTTTTCAGTATTCATTCCTTTTCTTTTTCCATTATGATTGTCTCCTTTTAAGATTTTATGTATCCTACCAAAAATGTGTTTTCTATCTTGCTATTCCTTTTATCTTTTTATTCATACCTGCTACACTCTGTACTTCATACAACTAAACACACCTTATTACTGGATCTCTCTCATTTGCTCATAATTGATACAGTATTATTATAGAATTCATTTTTCTTATATTTAAATAATCTGTTGAGGTACAGAATTTTATATTATGGCTTTAAAAATGAACATTTTAAAAGAGTCTCTCTTCACATAATATATACAAATCTATTAAAACAAAGTAGGAGGAAGAGAGTATATAAAAAAATATTGCTCACCTTAAAGTGATGAATTGTAAAATATAACAAAAAAGAAACAACAACAAATAGACTCTAACTGGTTAGTTTCTTTTTGTTAAATTTTACAATATTTTAAAGCCATAATATATATGCTCTACATTTATTATTCAAATGTATATGTTTATTAGGTTTTTTATTTTTCTCAAAATTTATATATATATATATATATATATATATATATATATATATATATATATATATACACACACAGAGTTTAGATATCAGAAGTTCATATGTATTTTATAAGTATTCATTATGTGCATTCAAAGGATTTTTATAAGGATTTATTAAGGACACTATTATCTTAAGAAAAATAAATTTTTGATGAATAATGAATTTTTACAAGAATTGTTTTCATTTTTTTATTTTTAATCATAATAATTTATAATATTATAAATTGTTTTAAATTCTGCATTACTTCAATCAATCAATTGAAAATCATCACGTACCAAGATTTAAAAAATAATTTTTAATTTTTTTTTTATGTACATAAAATATTATGTAATGTGCCTGTTTTTGAAAGCATGGTCATCTATATACACAATATTATCAGAAAATAAGAGTGATGGCTATAGTAAATTTAAATTCAACATTCCTAAAATTAGATTACAGAAAATATTTTTTAATTTTTTTAAGATTACTGAGTAGTTAAAAATTATATAAAAAAGGTGCACACATCATTTTCTTATATTACATTTTAGACATAAAGTATTTGTAGAACAACAATCAATATATCATCACCCGTCAACACTCTTCAATCACATAAAACTTGGCTACTGCCAGGTAAAAACACTGCTACCGTTTGTTTTAAAAATGCATTTCTGTGTTGTTATTTTAAACTTAAAGTAAATAATATTTGTTGCAAATCAGTTTAATTATATTTAAATCAGCTAATATTCCTTAAATAAAGTTTCAGAAAAGTATATTTTACTTTAGGAAGATTTTTAAATAAAGAGAATTACACTGCACTGAAAGGGTTATTTAGCTATATAGCTATTTTAGAAAAAAAAAATTGATTCCAATCAATATAATTTCTGTTTGAAATGCACCAGAGTATTTTGCTTATTTGAAATAGTAAATTTAATCCTTCAAGAAAGTTTTTCATTTTTAAAAATTCAATTTAAACATTAGGTATTGCAAATTAGTTGAGGTCCCTACTTTAATCTGATAAATCCTAAAAGACAAAACATGTCATATTAAAATTTTTTCCATTTTGTTATAGATTTTCATAAAATTGTTCAGATATGTAGGTGTATCCCAGCATCTGGCACTTTTGAAAAGTACCTGAAAACCATACCATAGATTGACCTAAATTTTGTTAGTGAAAATGGGTAGATGGAACTTTTTAGAAGCCATCAATAGAATTAAATCACAAGTCATTGTGACCAAAGTTTTGAGCCAACTGTTATTTGTTCAAAATGCTGATCATACCAAATTATTGCGCCCTCTATAAGAAATTATAACTAATGTCTGCTCAGGATAGTTGTAGAGTAAGATAGGCTGTGTAGGTATTGAATAAACACAAAGGTGAACAATGAATAAGCAAGAGAAAAAAAAAAGAGTAAGATGAGAGATCTCTAGACATGGAATGTAGAACACAAACAATCTAACCCTGTAGATTAAATAAAGGGGGTTCAGTTTGAAATTTTCTGAAGGGTTAACTGTATCAACAGACAGAAGGCTGGAGGGCTCAATGACTGAAATGTTGGGATAATAACATGATGAAGAAATTCATTTGACTGTAAATAATGTAAATAAAGATCATCTTTTTAAAATTATTACGTCTTAAATATTAATTCTTATTGTGCTGATTCTTAGATAAAATAACAAATGATAAAAACCAACATCACTTGCTTTAGTCCATTTTCGGATCTATACTTTTTCTCTCTATATTGTTGGCTGGTGTTAAATACATGAAGTTGATAATCAAATAAATGCTAACAATGTCATCTTTTATTCTGCAAGAAAATGTCTTCATTTTTTCTTTCTTATGAAATTTTCCTGTCATGTGAAGTACCAATGTTATTAATCTGTGAATGTGATGGACATTTCCCCAGAAACCAACTTATTTCCCTAATCCATTTAGAACAAAATGGCCCTTTAAGCATATGTTGAACAGTGATCTTCTCTGTAAAGAAATAAATCAATGTTTCTATCAAAGATAATTCTATACCACATTATTCTGCTTTGAGGAATCTTTACCTCTTAGTATTTCTAATTCTAGTTTTTCTTTGGACCATTCCTTTTTTGGTTTGCTTATATATATTTTCTTTCTTTTCCTCTCTGTTTCTTTTTCTTACACTCTTTCTTACTTTCTTTCTAACCTTTTCTCTCTAACTTTTTTCTCACCTCTTTTCTTTTTGTCTCATGATCAATACGAATATTACCTCTCTTTCATATATACTATTTTTCTTTCTCTTTCATTTCTGTCTTTTTTATCTTCAGCCAACATCTCTTTTTCACTCTCTCACTCTCTGTCTTCTCCTCTACTACTCTTTTTCTTTATCTTCTTTTCTTTTACACATGCACATGTACATACTGTTAAACAACGTTGAGTTTAGTCAGTACCTAGATGGGTGACCACTTGGGAATACCAGGTACTGTAAGCTTGGAAGTGCAGGTGATGTAATAGATAATGGCTTGGAATTATTAATCAGAGAGCCAAGTTCCAATTGCAGTTGGGTTTGTTATATTCACTTACATGCAAATACTCTTTGTGAAGGTATGAATCCATGTCTTCTCTCCTCCCAGCTATAGATTAATTAGTAAGACTTGTATCACTAAATCATTATTATATGCAAAAAAAAATAAAAATATTCTTACAATCTAAAAATATTTTCTGGCTTTAAATAACCTGCAAAAGGCTGATAAACCATAAAAAATCAATCAATCAACTGTTATTACCTCAGTCTCACTTTCATATTTCTACTATTTCTCCTCTTTCATTTTTCTCTCTTGTTCTCGATCTTTATCTTCATCCAACATATTTTCCATTCTCTTTCCATTCTCTCTCTGCCTTCTCCTCTTTTTCTTTATTTTCTTTTACACATGCACATGTACATACTCCCCTCTTTCTTTCATTCTTTCAGAACCTCATACACTATTTAATATCCATGCTCTCTCTCTCTCTCTCTCTCTCTCATGTGACTCTTTTCCTCTCCTATTTTTCTGTCCTTCTCTTACTCACATCTTTCTCACATTCCCTCTTTCTCTCTCTCTTATATGACTCAATAAAAACATGTGCTCAAACATATGTCTTACTAGTTAAGAACACAAAACCAACATCAGTTGTTTTTATAAGGATTTTTAGAAAAGAACTAAATTATTTTACAGTTTAGAAACATGCCAATGATGGGGCATTTTCTCTAAAGCTTTGCTAATTCTTTCACAGAAATAACAATCAACATCTTGCTCTGGGTTATCAAGTTAATCAAAGAAATTAAAGTAAATAAGACCATAGGCAAGGTTTTTGCAGAAAATTTCATCTTAACCAACGACTTGAATATAGGCTTGTAGATCAAATGTTGCATACAATTTTTGTCTGAATAAATGTATATTTTACAAAGTAGAAATTTTAAGCATAACTTAAATTCAAAGTGTTTTCTATTATAGGATATCTTAAAAGTATCTTCTTATTTTATTCTTTAATAAATTGTTTACATATTTGAGACCAAAGTTATACCAACATAGACAACCACAAAAAATAGATACATATATAAAAGGTTGAAATAGAGACAGATAAATATAATCTCTAGTTATACAGAGAAAAGTTGAAAAAGATATTAGAGAATTTTAAACATTAGGAATAAATGTAAGTCTGGAAAATAATCTTGCAGATAATCAGTATTTAATTAACATTAAAGTTTGTATCATAAAAAATCTGATTTGTTGCACAGGAAAACAGAGTCGTCTCCCCTTATATTTTACAAATAATTATAATGTAAATTCTATAAATTGATTTGATATTTGAACAGCCACGTCCAGCCACATTTAAACAGGTAAGATAAAAAAATTCTTTTTATTGATTGATTACCTATAATTGTATTTTCTGGAGTTGCTATCATTCTTTTTATATAGATACTAGTAGAATTATCTGAAGTAATTAAGGTTTTCATTACAAAAAAAAGAAAATGAAATAGCATTTTAGAATAGAAGCCTAAAGACAGTTACATAGATACTTTCCTTCTATCAATATAGTCACAATTATCAAAGTCTACATGAATAGAGTTAAAAGTATTTTCTGTCTGAATTTCTAGAATGAGGAGTTACTATTATTTACATTAGTTACATTTGGACTAATGTCCCCATCTTTGTTATTATTATCACAGATTTTCATCTATTGTATCCTCCAGCCTTTCTTCGGGTGTCTGTCAATCTGGGTAACCATCAACAAATTTCAAACTGAACTGTTTATTTAATCTACAGAGGTAGACTGTTCTTGTTTTTCCATCCATGTCAAGGGACGTCTTGTTTTGTTTGTTTTAGTACTGATCAGTTATTGCTCACTTTGTTTCCATTAAGTCTAAGTCTATACTCCAGGGATAAGGCCAGGGATTTTACTCAGTGTAGAAATAAAAGTAGTCACTTTCCTTATCAAATGAAGTGCCCACATGTTATGTGTATTCTCCAATGAAAATAAAAGCTTTAGGTCATTTGTACAGAAATTGGTAGGACATACAATTTTGATCTGACTGCTCATGGCCGTCTGTCTGAAGTTATTATGCAAATCACATAAACCTCAATAACTCAAATTTGCTTTGAAAAATTTTTGTCAAATTTGAAATAACTAATTTAGGTATCAAAATAAAGCTTGGGTTAAATGTTTAGGTAGTTTCAATATGTTTTTATTAAAGTTATTGGATTTATTATAAAAATCTGTAGTTTATACAGATATCACTATTAACACCTTTGAAATTTAATAAAAACTATTTTTTTATTTTTTTTCATATCTGTTGAAACATGGTTATTGGAAAAGTTCTAAAAATACTGAAAAACAGAAAATAAAGTAATTTAGTGAGGGAATATCCACATTGGAAATGTCAAAGGAGCTTTGCAGAGATCCTCGAATGATAAAGAAGCTTGTTGAAAATATAACTAAGTTGAGATCTAAAAGCAACGGAAAAGTCTTTAAGAACTTGTTTCCTCAAGGGGAATGTAAACTAAAGCAAGTTTTAGTGAAATAATCACTTTTGACCAGAGATCAGATCTTGAATGGAATTGAGGGAGTCAAGAAGAACAAAAGGTGTAAAATACTTCACAAATTGGGATCTGCCAAGAAATCTCTGAGGCCAACTCTTCTCAGTAAAGCAAATATTTTAAAGCATCGGAATTGGGCCAAAAAATACATGAAAATTAAATTTTTTAAAGTAATTTTCATGGACAAATCTTGGGTGACACTCGATGGGTCTGATAGATGGATAGATTCTATCTGATGCAGATGCGCCTGTGGCAAAACAAAGGTAGCAAGGAGGTGGCAGTGTAATATGGGCTGGAATTATTGTCCAAACCATTAATGAACCATTTGAATGATGAAGGAGTTAAACTGAACAGTGCTAACTAACTATTGTGATTTCATGGACAAGATTTTCTTAGAATGGTATACAATCCAGCCTCATAGTTTCAAAGTGAAGTGTATATTTATGCATGACACTGCTCCTTATTTATCTAAGGTTACACACAAATTTCTTTTAATATAAAAGGTTTATAGGAGAGAAGGAAATGGAATGGCCACCATCAAGTCCTGATCTTAATCTGATCAAAAATGTATGGTCAATTGTGAAAATGAAATTATATGAAGGTGGTAAATGATATGACAGCAAAGTTGACCTCTGGGAATCAATTAAAACCACCATGTCAGCTTCTGATCAAGAAAAATTAACAAAAATCAATGGATAATAGATTGCTGGCTGTTATTGAGAAGAAGAGTCACTATATTAAGATATAAATGCTTCAAAGACTTATATATGTTTGTTATTTGTTCTATTATAGGTGTTGATGATTTTATTATCTTTTTATTGAAGTAAAAATTGATTTTCTGGTTTTGCATAATAGTTTCAGATTGCAGTTTTTATAATAAATCCAATTTTAATAAATGAGCTAAAAATTTAACTTAAGCTTTATTTTGATGTCTAAATTGTTTAAAATTTGACAAAAATCTTTCAAAGTAAATTCAAGTTATTTAAGTTTATGTGATTTGTATAATAATTTCTGGTAGACAGTAAATTGCTACATTTGTATGCCAACAGCAGACATTTTTCCCTGCTCATCTTACAGCTGGTTGTGTTGGTAACTGTTGGTGTTTTTGATAACCTACATGAATTCTTTCACTTACAATTACTATGCTACCAAATATATATGCTTTAATCCTCTCAGTTATTCTCCTCTGGGACAATAAAAGTTACAAGTTAGATATTATATAAAATGTTAAGAAAATGCAATATTATTAGAAGTATGTGTGGATATATATATAATTATTCAGTTTTCATTTGCACCTGCAACTAGCATGTAAAATGCAAACTGAGAAAACATTTAAAAAATATTTTTTAAAGGTTACTCCAAAATTATTCTTTGTCTTTTTTATATTACAATATGTAGAACAATATTATCATCATGTTATAAAATAAAATAAGACATATCTCGGCTGATTTACAGGCAAATACTCAAGAGCGAGAACCGGATGTGAATGGGACAAAGCCCCGTCACCAAATGACCATTATCTTTCTTTACAAATGTTCTCAACACACGTGTTCCGGTCGAAAAATAAAATAATATTTAAAGTGCTCTATTTTTTGTCCAATAAAAATGCTTCCCTCCTAATTATACTCGCTTCATTTCTTGAGCCTGTTAAGCCATAAAAATCGCTATAAAAGGGGTCACACGGAAGTTCAACAGGAGTCCACAGGTGGCCGCAAACAGACCTGTCACGGTCAGGCCGAGCGATCAGCAGCAGGAGAGCATCAACCACCGTCAACATGTGTGAACTACTATGAGAGATCGACCTAGATCCAAAAGCCGGCTTATGAACTTTACCACACCAAGGTAGCTGTCCCAAACCCTCACGTTCCTGTTGAAATAAACCACGTAAATCTATTTCTAAATTATAATTTCCAAAATAATAATTGAGACTAATTCAAATATAATTCTTCCATTAATCAAAAAGTACAAGTTCTGTAACTGGAATGGTAAAAAAAGGGCAAGCAAATTTAATCGTTATGGTCGTGATAACTGTTCATCAGATACATATCAATGTTTTGTTATTTGTAGCAATGTAGCATAATGCTAATATGTCTGTCACAGACTGATGTAACAATCTTCCTACCCTCATTTCCCCACTCTGAATAAGCGTGTATATCATACTGAATTAAGCTTAATAAAAAACATGCTTATTACATATCTCAGGTTAAAAAGAATATGTGTGTCAAAGTTTAACTTGGTCCATCAAAGAGTTTGGCTGTTTATACACACACACACACATGTATACATACATATATATATATATATATATATATATATATACACATACACATTTGTTAGTTCCACCAGTTCAAACATTTACATCTAGGGTGGGCCTGCCATGCCATGCCATATACACAAGGTTGAATCATTCTTATTTCTTTCATATCCCACTGGTAAAATGATGTGCAGTTGGTGTAATAGATGGAAGGTCAGAAGGAGAAATTAGAGAGTCAAGTTTGAATTTCGGTCAGGTTTGTTACATTCACTTCTATGCAAATAACCTTGGAAAAAGTATGAATCCATCTCCTTCCCCACAATATGGATTAAATAGTAATATTTGTATCTAGAACAGTTATTGTTATTCCCAAACAATTGTTAATGCAATATTCACCCATAAAATGAAAAAAAAAATTATTCTTACCATCCAAAATATATTTCAGCATTAAATAACCCATAATGGGTTGATAAGATGTAAAAAAAAACAAATCAATCAATCAACAACTACTGGTAAGAAAGAAATTCCACTCAGACAACATCTTCCTGAGAACCACTACTTTGTGGAACAGACTCCCAACAACAATTTTAACCTCTTCAAATTTTTGGTCAACCATTATCTATCTAACATATCCTCATAATCTGCATTTGTTATTTCCTCTCTTTACATCCTTACAACCACCTCACTAAGTAA